GAAGAGGACTGCATAATAATAATAAAGCAGACTCTGATCAACATTCCCTGCACAAGGATGAAGGGGGGTGGGGGGTGAGAACGACAGTTGGGGTGTGAAGGTTTTATGTCGCTCAAAGGAGCATACCACACTCTATCTAAATAGACGGAAAAATTGTAATTGTGAAGGTATGATAGGATGCTATCGGAAACGCGAATAACCCCAGGCAGAAGGGGAGATGCCACAATTGTTTAGCATACGTTTGGTCAAAGGATCGGCTTCACTTGTCTATTTGACGAATTGTTGTATGGTGCTAAGAATGGCGATATTCACTGACGATGGCAGCGAAACGTTTGGGAATGTACCACGTCCACGGTTCAACTCTGGAAATTATTATGCAGACAATGGACTCCGGACTGGGTGCGTTCTTCTAAGTCTTCCTACTAAAATGAACGAGTTACGAAAACAAGGTCAGACAACTTCTAAAACCAAGCTTAATTGGAATTATTTTCGGTTATGTTATCATAAACAAAGTATTTACCTTATTTCTGGATAACGTTATTACACAATTTCGTATTTATCTGGTATGATTTTTAATGAAAGATTTTGATAACTCATGTTAAGAGTATGGCGAAAAAATTGAGGACTGTAATTGTTAGAATCGAGATACCTGAATTAATCAGACAACGGGCTGATTTTTCTGAGTATGGAGGAGAACTACTAAGGTTAAGGACCATTAAAGCAATTGAATTTTTTTTTGAAACTTAGCAAAATATTTAGTTGATGAAATGATTGCATAAAGCCGAATAAGCATAAGCTTTGGTTAATAGAAGGAATGAATAGGATAATGATTATGAGTCTATAATAAAGGAATACTCAAACAACTTGGAACTTGGAGATACTAAAAGCAACCAAACTATTACGAATATCAAACACTTGCCCGTATGCATTCATATATAAAGTGAGTTTTGATAACCTTGAACAAAGTGGCAAGCAAGCGGTGAAATGAGAAGCATGCCCCCCAAAAGCATGGGTCACCACATTGAGAGTAAATCACATAAATCAGTAAATAGGTCATTAAGAGCTAAAGCGAAGAAATAATATGACTATATAGAGAAATGGTTGGTCACGACTGAGAATTGGAAGTTTGGTAGGATGCACCATCAGCCGCATAATGTTTCATAAACTGATAGCAATTCTAACTAGAGCAAAGTTAGGATTGATTTTGAAAATGAACATCGTCGTGTAATGCATCTTAAAACAGCATTTAAATCCAAGACAAAGAAAACTGCCTAGCAAGTGGTAAATATGCCAAACGCTTGTGCTTCTCAATTGTAAGTTCTGCCCATATAAAGGTAAACAATGCCAAATGATAATAAATCGAAATTAATAGAATAAATACAAAGAGAAAAAGAAAGTAAAATGGTAGGGTAAGTAGAACAACTAAGAAAAATAAAATACAGGAAGAATGCTATAACACTAACCGCATTTCAATTATATTTGTTCTAAGTCCATCCCGCTCTTCCCTCAATTTTGCTAACTCTTCCTCTTCTACGGCGTTATTACCAGGGGTTGCTACTTCGCCCGCCATAGATCTGGGAGTGAGGGTATTTGTATTCGTCTGAGAAACACCTCCAGTAGACGTGTGGGCGCAACTGGAAGATGAAGATGAAGACAGAGGTGATGCTGGTGTGGCCATATTATTAGGATCTCCCCGAGAGCCTCGCCTGCGCTGGCCGGTGATGGTGCTCAGGCCTGGAGATCTAGGAACGGCAGAAGCCACTGAATGGATGGGGGTGTCTTCGACGAGTGGTCCTCCCATAGAATTCGTCCTGTCAGGAGCAGGAATTAGGCCGGTACCTAACGGTTTTCCATTGAGTGGAGGCCCGGAAGCTCCATCCAACTCCATTTGGCTGGAACTTGGGTTTTCATCAGTACATGGCACAGAGCCTAGAGGTCCGGAAGCTAGCAGATGGAAGGCTGAGGCACCGGAAGAAAGGGGCGTAAATTTGACGTGTCCTTGTATGGGGTCAGGTTGAGCTTGGGCGATTGGAAGTGGATCTATCTCAGGCACTATCTGACCGAGAAGCTCGAGGGGCGGAGTGGAGGAAGGAGAAGGTCGTGGATGTGTACGTGATTGAATTGCAGGGTTCGATTGAATCAGTCGAGACTGACGGTAGAAAAATAAAGTGGAGTTAAAAATAAGAAAAGCAAAGATATAGGGCAAAAGTACAGTACAGAGAGAATGTTTCGATATTTGCTTGTAAACAAAGTCAATTTTATATATTAGCTTTGATTCCATACTATGGTTCCAAGATCATTTATAATCCGTGTCAATAAAATCTTAAATGCGAATCCCTTGAGACCACCTGATAGATGCTGGTGCTTGTACTACCATTTAATTTAGTACTTCTTCTGACACTTGGAAGGTCCAAGTGTCATGTATCCTCCAGAGAAATAAACACAGTAGTAGGAACCAATCACGTCTATGTGTCATATAATGGTCAGATAAATAAGTCAAGATTAAGCACTTCGATAATTCGGCATTTGTCCGCGAAATGACTTCTTCAATGGCACGTGAATTATGGAGTGGCACACAACATAAAGTAACTAGAAAAAATGGTTAGATGAAACCTTATATTATGAGAAAAAAATCAGTAGGTACGAAAAGTAACTAGGTTTCGAATAATCTTTTGAGATAACATTGTTGAGGAGACTTTCATTTCATATGAAAGTGCATGAGAAATTCGAGGATCAATCTCACCAGAAGACTACAGCTGATTCCAATTATACTACAGCCGTTGAGCCTTGATAAGACTTTCAGGTTGATGCAGCCTATGATACATCTTCCCTAGTTTTAGATGAAAACTGGCTGAGCTTTTGTCCATCATATTATGTCTCGCGGACGGTGTCAACTTGGACGTCGTAGTAAAGCCAAACGACTGCAGTACAATTTGAATCAACCGTCGGTTTCTGGTGAGATCTACATTCAAATCACTTCGTTAGGAAGTTTCATACGAAATGAAAGCCTCTCAAAATATTAGAAAATATGCCCTTGTGCAAATATTATCATTAATATATGGGAAAGACCGTATCTGTCCGAAATTTTAGCTAAATTAGTGGGATAAAGTTTAAATAAAGGTCAAAAAGGCTAAAACTATGAAATACAATTTCCGGTTCAGGAAAACTAGTTTTCTGACTTTTGTTTCAAA